CGGGTCAGCTCGCGGCGGGAGGCCGTGGGAAGGTGTTTCCCTGGGCGAGTGGACTTGCCGCTCCGCCCCGGAGCAGTGGTTTCCATCTCCAGGGTTGTCAGGGTTGGGAGAAGTGCTTGGCAAACAGCACACGGCCACATACGTGCTGGCTTTTAAAAGTAAATGATTGGAAAACTAGCTGTAATTAATGGTAGGAAATTGGCCTGGTTTTAGCTCTCTAGACGCTGGATGTGGGCGAATTAAGTTTGTGGAGGCTTACTTTTCCTCCGTTACAAAATGGGACGATTAAGCATTCATTTTTCCTGCCTGTGTAGGGTGTCAGTACATGACGCTGCTATCCACGGTTGAGTGCTGGGTATCGACTAAGATTCGCTTTCTGGGAAATTTCCCTTCCATTTGAATGACATGTACTGGTAAATAAAAAAATTGTGGTTTAAGTAAAAATCTATATGAAGAATTAATCTGGGTGACTTGGGTACCATGTGACCTGAGGGGAGCCTCGGTGGCTTTACAGTCCTGCATGTGGCTAGCTCAGTGTCATTCCCATCACAGTAAGGAACGCTTTCAATTTTATATACTGAGATACACGTTTAGGGATGCCTCCTTTTTGTGTTGTTTTGCCGTAAAATTCACCTTTTGAACAATTTTGAAGTGTTTATATTCAGTGTTGTGCAACCATAAGCATTATCTTGTTCCAGAACATTTTCATCAGCCTCAAAATGAAAGCCCTTAAGTGCTCTGTAAGCCCTCACTCTCCACTCCTCCTTTCCCCTGGCAACCACCATCGCTTTAGTTTTGGGATTTGCCTATTCTAGGCATTTCATATAAGAATCATGATGTATGCGGCCTTTTGTTTTTTGGCTCTTTTATCTAGGATGTGTTCAAGTTCACACATGGTGTAGCATGTGTCAGAACAGAATTCTTTTGTATGGCCACATGATGGGTATTTTCTTCACCCATCATCAATGGTGGACGTTTGAGTTGTTTTCCCTTCTTGACTAATAGGAATAATGCTTTGAATATTTGTGTACAAGTTTGTGGACTTGCTATAAGTTCTGTGGGTTATCACATACTTAAGCATGCAATTGCTAAGTCATATGGCAATTCAAGAAACAGACTGTTTCCAAAGTTGTTGTACCATTTTATATTCCCACAAGCTCATGAAGACTTCAGTTTCTGCACATGCTCGTTAACATTTGTTATTTTCTGGGGCTTTTTGTTTTTGTTTTTATACCATCCTAATGGGTATGTGAAATGGTATCTCATGCATTTGATGTGTTTCTCTAGTGACTAAACATATTCAGCGTCTGCGTGCTTGGTGTTTAGTTGTATATTTTTGGAGAAAAGTCTCTAATCCTTTGCCCATTTTTGAGGTAGTTTGGTTTTGAGGTCTCTAACGAATAATTAAGAAACATTTGAAAATAAAGGTATAAGAATAAAAGGGAAATGTGGTCTTTGCATTCACAAAACAAATGTATGTCAAATGTATGTCAACACGGGATGATTACAAGATAATTAGATAAGAAACTGCATCTTAAATTAGTATGTGTTTAGAAACCACACGAAAGGAATGACCTTTGCTGGTTTCAGGTCTATAAAGAACAAGAACTGGGGTATAGTTCTGTGATTTGTTTCAGTGGATATCTTAACCACAGTACTTCAGAGCCACAACTGACAATACAGAGGGCCTGGGAATTCAGCCACAGGGAATCCCTTGCTTAATAATTCTCAGTTCTTTGGAATTGGCTAGATAAAGGAATCCTAGTCTGATCAAAAATAAAACCTCTTAGTAAGGTAATATTATTTAATACATTACCCATTTTTGACAAATCCCTGCTCTGGGAACAAGTACACTCATTATACATTTTAGTATCTTTGTTATGTTGGTAGAAGAAACAACAGGAGTTTTTGAAATCATTATAGTTTTAAGATTACTTTGAACTAAAACACTATGCTGCTCAAAAGATGTTTGCTTTTTTTTTTTGTCTTAATAGTACAAGTTTTCCTTGGAGGGGAGGGAAGATAATAGACAGGAGCTTGATACTTTGGGAAACAACAGCATCTGAGTTAGATGAGATAAAAAAACACATCGAATGGGGCTGGGCTGCAGCTCAGTGGCAGAGCGCTTGCCTAGCCTGTGTGAAGCACTGGGTTCAATCCTTAGCACCACATAAAAACAAATAAAATAAAGGCATGCTCTCCGGCCTCAGCGACAAAATTTATTTTTTTTTAAAGACATAGACTACAAGGAAAGTATTCTTTCTGTTACTACATTTTATAAGGCTAATAAACATAAAGGCTTTAAAACTTCATAGTATTCTGATGTTATACTAAGTATTTGGTGGGGGAAGGATACCAGGGATTGAACTCAGGGGCACTTGCCACTGAGCCACATCCCCAGCCCTATTTCATATTTATTTAGAGACAGGGTCTCACTGAGTTGCTTAGCACCTTGCCTTTGCCAAGGCTGGCTTTGAACTCACAAGCCCCTTGCCTCAACCTCCCAAGCTGATGGTATTATAGGCTGCTCAAGTATTTAAAGATTTTTATATTGACCCTTTTATTTAATGTCAAGTTATGAAGTAAGATTTTTCTGATAAAGTTGGCTACTGTGAAACCAGAACTCAGTTATTTGGAGAGATCTTGTGCATTTATTGGCACTTTTGTCAAAGAAATTTGGGGGGGAGGCGTGTCATTTAAGCCAGCAGTTTTATAAAAGTGTCTTTTAATGGTGGAACTTCATAGAATTTTGACTTCATGTCCAGAAAGTAGAACACACTTCAGTAGGTGATATATTGGTGTGAGAAGAAAACAAGCCTTAAGCCTCCTTTCCAAGAAGATGTTGCATTTTGGACCATTTTTCTGGTTTTTCCTGTGCACAACCAAGTCTCAGATGTCTTACTGTATGACTGACATAGCTGCCAAACCAGATATAGTCTTTTTTAAAAAAATATTTATCTTTTAGTTGTAGTTGGACACAACAACTTTACTTCACTGAGAGCCACAGCCAGGTCGGAATGGCGCCTGGCATATTACCAGAAAGAGTGGTTGAGAGGTGAAGCCAGCAAGCCATTAACATGATGATAATTAAGTTAAGCTGTGTAATTGCTGTGACTGGATGATGCTGGATTGAAAAGGGCTGTGTATTCAGTTGTATATGGACCCCTGCTGTCCCGCAATAGGGCGGCTCCTGCTGCCTCAGAGGAGCCCTCTAGGAGCCCAGTGGAGGGCAGAAGAAGTTCCCGGGTAGGGAGTTCTGGTGTGTGGTGATCCTGGAAGGGCCACATGGGTGAAGTTGTTGGGAGTTCGAGCAATAAAAGAGTTCCTGTTTGAACCTCCCGCATGGGGGCTCGGTTATTTTGTGCCCAGCCAGACTGTGGCATTTCACTTATTTATTTTTATGTGATATTGAGGATCGAATCACCCAGGGTCTCGCACATGCAAGGCGAACGCTCTACCACTGAGCCCAACCCCAGACCCAGATATAGTCTTAAAAGCAGAATTTTTAAAAATCTTGTCTTAAAAATTCAAACTTTTTCATGTGGGGTATTTAGCATAAGACTATCAGTGAGACCAAGCACTGAATGAAAGTAGAACATTGTGCTTCAGTAAACCTGCCACAGCCTGTCAGCATGGATTCCTTCGGCCCTTTTAATATTTTTAAAAATTTTTAGCATTTGATAATGCTGGACTAGGAGTTATAAAGAAATCTGTTGGGCTGGGACTATCAGTGGTAGAATGCCTTGCTCGCATGTGTGAATCACTGGGTTTGATCCTCAGCACCACAAAAAAATAAACAAATACAGACACTGTCCATCTATAACTAAATTTTTAAAAAATCTGTTAATTTCTTTGAGAAAATTTTTTGTGTTCTCCTTTTTAAATCTCCAAAGTTTCTTGTAATAAATGTCTTAAAACAAAGGCAGATAATAGTTTACCAAAATGGAAAATACAGATGAACCTCTTAATTTTTAGTTATTTCAGTAAGTTGAAATGAGTGGTAGGAGCTGGGTATGGTGATGCACTCCTATAATCCCAGAGTAGGGAGGCTGAGGCAGGTCAACCTTGACAACTTGAGGTTGTTTCAGAATGTAGAGGTTGTTTCAGAATGTAAACGGACTGGGGATGTAGCTCAGTGGTAAAGTGTCCCTGGCTTCAATCCCCAATATTGCCAAAAAAAAAAAAAAAAGGTGTAGGTCTTACTTATCACAGCTAATTTACCTTCTGTTTTAACACATAGCTGCAGAATGATCTAGAAGAGGTAAAGGTGTTGCTGGAAAAGACCACTAGGAAAAGAGTACGTGATGCTCTTACAGCAGAAAAAAACAAGATTGAGACAGAAATAAAGAACAAGATGCAACAGAAGTCACAGAAGAAACCAGAACTTCTTGACAATGAAAAGCCAGCTGCGGTGGTTGCTCCCATCACAACAGGATATACCGTGAAAATCAGTAATTATGGTATGAGTTGATCCCCTGCATCTAGTTTAACATTTGACAGTTCATGTTAGTTAGTTTGACAATATGTTTTGAAATGGCATTTTGTTAGATATTAGTAGGTTAGTCAGATGAACACATTGAGATGAAGACTAGGACTATTTTAAACTCACATCTACCATGTCCTGGAAAGGAATTGAGGAAGTTAGGATTGTATTTTACATAAGTAGAGCTGATTGTAGAATCAGTGCTGATGTTTCACCTCCCGTTAGGCAGAGAATTAGTATTACATAGGCTTAGGAGAAAAGTATTTCCTCCAAAAAAGAGTAAATGAATTTATGTAATCGTCATGTTTTTTTTTGAAGGAAAATAAAATGGGTTTTATGTTCAAAACCTGAATTTGAGAATTTGAGTAACTTTGGGTAAAGTGTATTAACTATTTTGAGGTTTTCTCCACCTAGAAATTTTCTTAAATTTTAATTTTTTCATGTTACTTAATTTTCTTTTTTATTTTACTGAATTTTATTATAAGCCACATTATGTTGGCTATTAAGCAGTTTTGGAGACTTAACTTGTGTTCCATGTTTTATTGGTGTTGCTAGGATGGGATCAATCTGATAAATTTGTGAAAATCTATATCACTTTAACGGGAGTTCATCAAGTTCCTGCCGAGAATGTGCAGGTTCATTTCACAGAGAGGTGAGTTCTCAACATATCAACATAATGGGAAAGACAATGCTCATGAAGAGTCTTTTTTTTTTTTTGCCTTATCATTTCTGTAAAGTTTCTAAGATTTTGCTTATTTTAATTATGCTTTATAAAGCATAATTGTAAAACAAATTATAATTTTATGCAGAGGTGAAAATCATCTGGGTTACCCAATTGTACATACTGAAATAAAGTCCATGGCTTTAAAAAAAAAAAAAAAAGGTAGCTAGGTATGGTGATGGTTTGGCTGAGGCAAGAGGTTTGTGAGTTCAAAGCCAGCCTCAGTAATAGTAAAGTACTAAGCAACTCAGTGAGACCCTGTCTCTAAATAAAATACAAACTAGGGCTGGAGATGTGGCTGAGTGCCCCTGAGTTCAATCCCCAGCACCACCACCACCACCATCTCCCCCCCCCCCAAAAGAAAAAAAGGCAATTATGAGATTACCTTTTTATACAACCAGAAAAATAATGCATTTGCTGTTGCGTTGTAGGTCATTTGATCTTTTGGTAAAGAATCTAAATGGGAAGAGTTACTCCATGATTGTGAACAATCTCTTGAAACCCATCTCTGTGGAAGGCAGTTCAAAAAAAGTGAGTGGTTTGGTTTTTTTTTTTTTTTTTTTGTCAGAATATTGTGAAACGTACTAAGTTATACCTGGCTGATTTAGAATTCAGATGAATTAGAATTTATTGGCTATATTAGGGAGCAGCAAACTAGACCATGCCTGCTTTGTAAGTAACATTGGAGCATAGACTTTTTTTTATGTGTTGGTGTGGCTGCCTTTGCACTATATTGACTGAGTTAAGTAGTTGTAACAGATGAATGCTCTGTGAAACCTAAATATTGACTATCAGGCCCTTTACAAAAACGTTTACCAACTCATCCTGTAGAAGAATAGATTATTATAACATTGCATTAAAATCAGGTGGAAAATAAACTTTTTAAATGGTTAAGAGCGAAGCTTCAGTTTAATGCCAACTTTATCATTTACTAGTTGTGACCTTTGGCAGCTTATTACTGTGCCTCACTTTCCCTATTTGTACAGGTAATAATTTATTTCACAAAATTGTAATGATATGCTGATGTGATCTACTATATATAACATGTTTAAATTAATGATAGCTATTATTAGGTATACTGTGTGTATAAAGTTTCTGATACATAAAAGGAGGTCTTAACTACTTGACCTAATTGTAGTAGAAGCTATAAAAATAATGGAAGTGTCTTAAACTTCATACTTGTCATGAACTTAGATAATCCTCTTTTCTATCATTTGAATAAATGAGGTTTAATGCATCAGGTATGTAGACAAGTCATTCTACAGTGTTAAGGAATATTATAAGAGAATTATTAGCTTATGTCTCCTTGAAACCCTCTTCATCCACCAGTCCTATAATTGAAGAAATATTCAGAGACTTCTGGGAATTAATATTGATCACTGTGAAAGGAGTTGGAGGTTCCTTCTTCTTCCTCACCCTCCCAACATACCTCATATCACTCTTTCAGTCATTAAAATTCAGCCACCTTCTCCCTTTCTTCAGACACCAGAATCATCTCATCTTGGGGCCATTCTGTTGGCTTTGCCAACTGCATAGAATGCCCTTCTCCAGATCTTGTTTCCTCTCCAGAGAATCCTTCCCAAGTTCCTGCTCACATCCTCCATTAGCACCCTCTATCTAGAATAAGTCCCACATATAATAGGCTCCTGAATGAGTAACTGTTTTCTAAATATACTAATCTCCATATGTTTATAAGTTATATTTTTTCCCCGCTTCTAGGTTAAGACCGATACAGTTCTCATCTTATGTAGAAAGAAAGCAGAAAACACACGGTGGGAGTACTTGACTCAGGTTGAAAAAGAATGCAAAGAGAAAGAGTAAGTCTACTTTTTATTTCTTTTAAGTATTTTAATCATTTTCTTGGTTGGGATTATTGTTTGATTTTTTATGGATAATGGAACTGTAGAGACTAATTTGATCTTTTATGTTTTTGATGTCCACTGAGTAACCCCATTGTCTTACCTGCTTTCAACTGCCACAGCCTACTGGAAGAGGTCATGTGTTCCACAGGTTGCTTTGTAGGTGTTTATAGTTAGAGTTGGCTCTTTAGTACTGGCTCTCAGTCTTAGAATGGTGGTATATCTACAGATACTGTGCCTATTCTTAGGAATTTTGTTTCGGGAGTTCCAGAAAGGCTCAGATACTCATGTATGTGTGTTAGTAATTCTTCAGATGTTTGTGATATATAGTTTATATAGTTAGTTTCACTACCACTGGTTTAGGGGAAAAGATGAATCTCTTTATCCTTCATGACTGCATTGAGTTGGCTATCTGTGTTTCTTACTTCTTTGGTAGCCACATGCATTTGGGCTGTGGTTGGCTAGAGTGAGGGACACCAAACTATCTGAGGAATTGATTTTAAATTCAGACTGAAATACCCCAGTATAGGACCCTGTCTTATTGTGTGTATCTCCAGTGCCCAGTACAGAATCTGGCAAATAATGAATTAAATACATTTGGACTTTCATTGAACTGGAGGTGTACTGACCATATTTATTAAGACTATGCTCTTACCACTGGGTCCCAGATCCATATATCTCAGGCTTAAGAGAAGGGCTTTTCTAATAAAATGTAGGCACTTCGGTATGTATCTTTGTATAATGTTAATGCTTGTGGGTTTTTCCTCAGAGCATTTTTTAAAAACATAACGTAAAGAAATATACTCTTAAAAATTAAAAGCTGAATCCTTATTATTTGGCCTGCTAAAAAAAAAAATCACTTGAAATTACAGTGCCCCACAGTAACTCCGTTTTTGATGACCACTCTTTGGTACATAATGTGTACATGTGTGGTTAGTGTGCATTTTCATTAAGATGAATTTATATATTTGGATCGAGGGTACTTTGATACTCTATAGTTTCCTCTTACCTCCACCCATTTATTTCCTACCAGCATTAATCTGAAATTGTGTCTTTCCACGCTTTGATTTCATTATCACATGTGTTCTTCTTTAATAGAAAGCCTTCATACGACACCGAAACAGATCCTAGTGAGGGATTAATGAATGTTCTAAAGAAAATTTATGAAGATGGAGATGATGATATGAAGCGAACCATTAATAAAGCCTGGGTGGAATCAAGAGAGAAGCAAGCCAAAGGAGATACAGAATTTTGAGACATTTAAGTCTTTTTGGGAACTGTGATGTGGAAATATGGATGTTTCCAATAAGGGAATGTTGGAGAGCTGCACATATAAATTTGACATAACTATTTACAGAAAAGGCAGTAAATTCTCCTTTACTGGAGGATTTATTTAAATAAAATGTGCTTATTAAACACTTACTCCAAAGATGGTTTCATTGGTACCTGGTCATTCCCCCACTCCGCACCCCCAAGAAAGAGTTATATGGCATTTTCATTGAAATGTAAAAAGCAAGTCCTGCCTCATGAGAATGATAAATTATGTATTTTTGTTCAGCTAGAAGTATTTGCTAGCTTGTAAGTTAGTGACATCAGTTCCCACCAATGTAATAAGAGTAAGACCTGAATTTTTGCATAAAATTCAGTTGTACATGTCCTTGGAAGTTGCTGTAGAGTGATTGCTTATTTCCAGCTTAAGCAATGCATTACCATACACTCAGTCACATGCTTCTGTGTAGATTTAAATGCATTTATTTATGAATACAGAATTGAAATTGAAACAAAATCAAAACAAGGATAAGCATCTTTGTAGGAGCAATTAGGTCTGGATCAGATGGCATATAAAGGTAATAACCATTAAGCCAAAAAGAATTTGAAAATCCATCTATTTCTAGGTTCAATAAAGTTGGGTTTTTATTTAATGGAATAGTTTTTCTCTGTTTGTTCAGATGTATGTCAGAAAGATTAGGCTTTCCTAAAATCAGAAGCCAGAGCAAAGTGCCATGGGCTCTATCACTACATTTAACTGGAGCATTATACAGTGTAGTTAGATGGAGGAAGCAATTAGAGGATCCAAGAGGACCAACCAAATCTGAAACTATAACTAACAAGAATTTGGTAAAAGTGGCAGGATTTAAAATAGTCTAGATTTAGATATGAAAGTATACAAATATGAGAAGACATGAAGGGAATTCTATGGAAACTCTACATAGATGGCTTCATTCATTCTAGATTTTAAAATCAGTTGGTTTTAGCTATATAAAAATACATGGCAGGGGCTGAGGTTGTGGCTCACAGGCGGAGTGCTTGCCTAGCATGCATGAGGCACTGGGTTCACTCCTCAGCACCACATTAAAAAATGAAATAAAGATATCATGTCCACTATAACTAAAAAATAAGGTTTTTTAAAGAATACATGGCAAGAAAAAACCTACCATAACCAAAAATGACATGTTGAAAATTCTCAACAATTACAGTTTATAGAAAAAAAGTAAATAACCTGAAATATAGAAAGATGTTTGTCTTGTTCAGAAAAGAAATTAAGAAACTACACTGTTTGTTTCTTATCTATTACTGGGGAAAATTCCAGAAGATAAACATACTGGTGCTATTGTGTTGAGGCTATAGAGAAATAAGGACATGTGGAATGGAATGTGTTTAACCTCTGGCTTAGAATTCTGGGAAAGATAAACTGGCAAAAATTTGGAATGATCTATACAGAAGATTGGAAACACCCAAATATCTAAAAATGGGACTAGCTAAATGCTATATATGGTTACATCTACATGAGGGAGAGGACCTCCAGCCACAAAAAAAATGACTTCTATGTAGTGACACAGAATCACCAGGTCAGAGTAGTAGAATAGCAAAGCACAAAACAAAGTAGTCCTACTACCTTTGTAAGAAATGGTTAGAAACGTAAATACAATTATTTCTATTTTAGAAAATCATTTAGAAACTCAGAATTAATAAAAATTGCTTCCAACAGGGAAGGAAGGAGATGGAGATAAAAGTAATACTTTAATAAATGTACTGTTCATTTTTAAGAACCATCTAAAACAAAATTGAAAATGTAAAAATAACCCTTATTTGAAAGTAAGTCAAACTCTTTCCATTCCTGCTGCTATAACAAAATGCCTTAAGATTAATTTGTAAATAATAGAAACTTATTTCTTCATCTGGATGCTGGGAAATTCAAGATCAAAGTACTAGCTCTGCATTTGGTGTTTGGTAAAGGCTTTTGACTTCCAAGATGATGCTTTCTCAAGAATTCTCACATGGTTGAATTACGCAAAAAGGACAAATACAAATACAAAATGAGCGTTAATCCCATTTATGAAGGTGGTACCTTCCTAACACCTCATTTCTGTTCTGTTGCACCAGGGATTGATAAGTCAACATGAATTTTGAATGGGAACATGCAAACCATAACACTCAAGTTAGCAGTATAAAATTGAATACCAGTGCTAGTGAGAGGGACTATCAGACAAAAATAATCACAAAGGAATCTTAAACTGCAACCACGAGTTGTTTACACAAAATTGGAGGTCAGAGAAATTAACGTCAGTTACTAGTTTAGGTATTAGAGCATTCTAGTTGGTAATCTGTCATAAATTAGAAAATATGAATCTAAGGTATATCACAATTTCCTCAAATTTTCATTCTTAACCTGAGTTCCAGACTATGGTACCCAGTGTAGACTTCTCCATCAGATGATCGGTATCTCAAATATTGCATGACTAAAACCTGAACTCTCTGATCTGTTTTCTCCTAAACCTGTTCTTTTCTCCATTATATTCTGTCTTGAGTTGCCCTTTCCATTTATCTTACCAGGAACTCAGAGCCATCTTCACTCTTAAATAATATAACTAGTTTCTTAAGTCCTACCTAATTTTCTTTCCTAAGTAATACTTTGCAAATCTGTCCTCTTATTGCTAATGCCACTATCTTAAAGTTCAGGCCCTCAATTCCTGAACAATCAAGACATCCTCCTAACTGGCTGTCTTTCAAAGCTTTAAGATTAATTTGTAAATAATAGAATCTTGAAAATTCCTCAATCTAGAGGCTGGGAAATCCAAGATCAAAGTACTAGTTTGGTGTTTAGGAAATGGTCATCTACGGGACAGCTATCAGAGATCTGTAGATGAACTGTCATTCCTTTGCTTAAAACTTTCTAGTACCTGGTAGTTAAATGAAGTCATCCCCTTCACATAATGTGAAATCCTCCATGACAGGGCTCTTGTGTTGTGCTGATGTTTTTTTTTTTAAATGGTGCCTCACTGTTGCCCAAGCTGACCTCAAATTCCTAGTTTAAGGGATCCTTCTCCCAAGTAGCTTCCTGGGTAGCTGGGATTATAAACACCAAAGCACCTAGCTGAAGATTTTATATATGTATTTCACATGTATGTAAGTGGGTTCTTTCATAGTAACATGTATTTTTCATCACTGGGCTGATCACATTGTTCAGTTACTGCACAAGAAAACCTGCTGAATATAGGGAATATATATTATTCCAACAAAGCTTAAAGAGGCATATTTTACAGTAAAGATGTAATAAGAACAGATGGTTCTTCTGTTCAGCTGTCAACACAAAGCAGTTGAGTATTAGCCAATAATACAGGTCATCACCTTTAACTTCCAATCCATTGTTTAACAACTAATAGTAAGGCAGCCTCTGCAGGGCAGGGAAACTAACCCAGAATTAAACTGTCTGTCTGTCGGTTGGTTTATCTACAAGATAAATACTGTTTTACCAAGTAAAACTTCAAAAAAAATATAGAAATCCTTATGTGTTACTAAAAGATAACTCTTAAAGGAAAAGCATAGAGAAAAAAAGAAGCATACAAAGCCTGTTTCCATAGAAAATACTTTTTATTGCCTGCTCTACTCTTTACATCATGTATATGAACAGTATGTTTAATCTTTTAGAGAACTTAATGACAGAAGGAAATATCCAAATTCCTTAAAATTTGAAAGTAATTTAACTATATGTAGCTAGGGTCTCAGATTGGGGATGTGGCTCAATAGCAGAGCACTTGCCTGGCATGTGGGAAGCTCTGGGTTTGATCCACAGCATCACAAAAAAAGTCTCTTCTTCCCTGAAAGTTCAGTTGGTTCTGGAGCTTATTTTTACCACATTGCTCGCTGGACCCCAGAAAGTTGCCCATGGTCAGCTAAGTGTCGGAAGACGATTCGACTAAGCCTCCAGCGTCGCTTTACACCACGTGGACGGGATGTCATAACACATCGATTTCTAATCCTAACAGGACAGCTATCCCGGGGAAGGGCTGCAATTTCTTTATCAGCCATTTCCTAAAGGGAATCACAACATTACTACACAGATCACACGCATTTACTTTTTCTAGATGTTTAAATTTATGCTTAAAGAAAGGGCTGTTCTTTGTCAGCCAGAGCTTCCCAAAGAACCCTGGACACGTAGTAAACCTTAACCTGAGTAGAAACCCATAGACCAGAAGGGTGCCAGAAATGTCTGACATCCTTCCAGTGTGGTTTATAATTTGAAACTTTAACATTGTCATAACATTCACAAACCAAGGTCTGGGGACGTGGTTCAGTGTTAGAGCACTTGTCTAACGCGTCTGAGGACCTGGGATCAAGAAGGAAAAAGAATGTGTTGGATGTAGTAACACACCCATAACCCCAACTACTACAGAGCCTAAGGCAGGAGTCCAGCCTGGGCAACTAAGCAAGACCCTGTCTCAAAAAAAGAAAGAAAGAAAAAAAGAGTCTTAGGGTTGTAGTTCAATGGTAAAGTGCCCCGGGTTTAATCCCCAGTGCCAAAAAAACAAAAACCTCACAAGTTAAATGAAATCAATGCATATGAAAGCCACTAAATTAACAAACTAATAAGCATTAAGAATAGTTCCTGATCACCATGCTTATGCATGTATTGCTATTATGAAATAGGTAGAGAATAGAACATTTGCCTACCCACTGGCAAATTCCAAGCACATAGTACAGTATTACTGATGATAGCCACATACTGTGTCTTGGTGTCCCTGCACATTTCCATCCTATAACTGAGTTTGTACCCTTTGAACAACATCTCTCCAACCCTACCCCTGGCCTCCTAGCTCCAAAACAGCATGACAGAGTCAATGAGTAGTGGATACTAAGTGCTATGCAAGAAGTGGAGAGGAGAAATGACTGGGTTGGGAGGCTGAAGCAAAGTGTCATGGAGCAGATCTTCACAAATGACTATAAGCTGGTTATTTATGCATAACTTCCCTTGTTCCCAAAATGTTTTAAGACAGTTTACATGTGAGAACATTTGGAATAAGGAAGTCAACATAGAAAAGATAAATGCCTTACTACACAAAAAGTGCACACTGAAAGCCTATAAGCTTCTGGAACTGGGTCATAATTTGGTTTGTGAGCTACTTGGCAACAGCAGAGAGCCATGATCAGTTTCCACATTGATTCTGTGCACTGCTGTTGCTGGTACTAACACCAGACAGGAGGTCTTCATAAATAATGCACCCAACATTTCCCTCTGGCTTTACTGACATGTAATTCACAACTAAAATGTGTATATTTAAGGTATAGAACATGAATTATGTGTGTGTGTGTGTATGAAAACTACCACAATCAAGCTAATAAAAGATAACCATCATCTCCCATAGTTACCTTTTGTGTGACTGTGGTAAGAACACTTGCCTACCCTCTTGACAAATTCCAGGTATACAGTACAGAATTACTGATGGTAGCCACATGCAGTGCTTTGGTGTCCCTGCACATTTCCATCCTATAACTGAGTTTGAACCCTTTGACTAACATCTCCCCAACTTTACCGCTGGCTTCCTAGCTCCAAGAAACCACCATTCTACTCTCTGCTTCTGTGACCACAGTGTCTTCAGCTAAGTGTCTCAAGAGACTCTTCTTAGTACTCCTAAGTACAGACAGCTTAAAACCATTATGGTAAAAGCCATAACTGAGCAGTCCAGGAAATTCAGTTTTCTGCTCATTTGGCTTAATCCAGACAAAACTTAAAAGAATCTATAAATGATATTTATTTATTTATAAATATGAGCTTTTGGTAAAGTGAATGGCCTTGAGTTTAAATTATACTCCCTGACAAGGTTTTTTTCCCCCCCTCCTGACAAGGCTCTTTGAAACAAGTGTTCTATGTTGTACTTAGGCATAGGACCTTATGCTTCAGAGGGTCAAGTAGGGTTGATTCCATTTTATTCAACTTGAGGAGCATGATAAGAAGCGAAGCCTAAATGGCAGACCACCTCAGCACAGAGGTGGGCAAGGGAGTCCAGGAAGACAGGTCCTGAGCAAGAACAGTTCTGGTCATGTTCAAGCACCTGAAGCACTTGGCCCCATGCACCAGCAACACTTCCTAATGCCTTGATTGCTAAAAGGGTGGGATGAAGGCTAGTTTGGAAACTCACCCAAGTTTCAAGGCTGTTTATGCTGATCTGGACAACCGGATTTTATTCTCCAGAAATGATATGGATAACTAAGACACCACAAACAGTATCAAAAGTCATCTGATGTGAGGGCTGAGGTTGTGGCTCAGTGGTGGAGTGCTCCCCTAGCATGCAGGGGAACTGGGTTCAATCCTCAGCACCATATAAAAATAAAACATTTTGCCCACCTAAAACTAAAACAATTAAAATAAATATTTTTTAAAGAAAATTATCGGATGTGAGTTAATGATGTTGGGGTAGGAAGGGACTCAATTAGCTAACCTGAAGATCTTTGGGCAAAATGGTATTCTTCCGGAGGGAATTGATCCGCAATCTGTCATCTGCATATTCATAGGCCATTTTTCGTCTCTTCACATCACGCAACATTTTCCAGTCTACATAGTAACCTCGGACTTGGCGTGAAGCTAATGAAGGAACCACCTAAAAGACAGGCCAGGAACATGTGAAGGACATGGACGTTCAGGCCTCAGCTCTGCCAGTGTTCCCCAATCAGCAATCTTTCGGTCCCTATTATGAAGCAATTTTTAAAAAGTTGTTTGGGATCATTTTAATAATTCAAAATAATAGATTTCCTAATTAAAAGATAAATAACTTTTATGGACGTACACTCAGTGGTGATAATTAGCATGATGCCAATAATGCGTGTTGGAAAGTGACACATTTTCACACGCACCTTCTGCTTGCCTTTACACTAAAATCCCTCCAAAAGGCTCGTCCACACTCAGTCTCCAATTTCTTTGCTCCTACTCTCTCGTTTCCGTCCTCCCCACACTGCAATCCTCCGCGGCCAATTCTCAGCCCTTCTTCTAAGCGGCCGGGCACCTCTGCGCAGGGTCGCCCACCCCGCTCCCGGGGATTCTGTCACCGGCGGCTTCCGCGCCACCGCACTGCCCTGGGTTCTCTCTTCCTCGACCCACACTCCTTCCGTGTCCTAGGTGTGCTCGGGGTCTCCTCACCATCCGCTCCAACCTGCCCGAGTCGAGCCGGAGGCGGAAGTGGTGGGGAGAAGCCTGGGTCTGGTTCTCGAGGGGTGCTCTGGTGGTAGGGTCGTGGGGACCGGAGGTACGCCACTCAGGAATGAGAGGAAGGGAGGTGAGAACGGCGCGGGCCTGACCTGCCGGAACGTCCGCAGCAGCGCGCCCAGCATGGAAGCCGCCATCTTGTCCGCCGCAACTTTATTGACACTGG